TGTTAAGAACAAAAGCACACACACACGAATAGAAAGCAAGAAAGCAATAGAGAACACGAGATTTAACGTGGTTCGGTCTAATCTGACCTACATCCACAGGGGCAACTAGGGTTTGTATTATTGAGTGATAATGATTACAAGTACAGGAGATCATATATATAGACAACTAATTAGGGTTTAACCCTTGCTGGACAAGTTATAGCAAACTGGGCTTAAAACCATTTGGGCCGGCCGAAACCCTAATCTGGTCTCCTAATTCTCAGTTGTCTATAAGTGGGCCACTTTGGGCCGATGACTACACATCACCAACAGAAACTTCTTCCTTGCTTCTTCTGAGTGCAAGGGGAGCTCTTCCAGGTTCTGTAATGTGCGGCGGTTTCCATGCAGAATCATCCAAGCAACATCCATCTGTGGAACAGAAAAGTAAAGCGAGTAAAATCTTGCCCCCGAGTAAAATCTTGCCCCCCTACTGGTGCGGCAAGTAAAATATAAATAAGCATATTAAATAATTTAATTATCTGAATGACAGGTTGCCTCCCGTTTAAGCGCTTCTTTAACGTCCGTAGCTTGACGCTCACCCACTTTTTCCGTGACTTCCCAATCCGAGAGTCATAAAGTTTGGCCCTTTTGACTCTTTTCTGATGCCACCCTATTTGAATTCTTGCTCGGTCAAGGTCCAGGATCCTTGACTCATCCCTGCGGCTTGGTGGCAACAGGATATATGGAAGAGACTTTGTATAGGTGGGTGGTGGCGGAAGTCTCTTCAGTTGATCCACATCATTAGCCTTCAATGCGAAATTGATTTCTTCCTTGTTTTCAACAGGCTGACTATCCATTTGTGGTTTGATGATTACGACCGTGCTTTCCCCCAAGGAAGAGTCTTCATCGTCACTCACCAAAAGTTCATCCCAACTCTTTAAGTTCCAACCTTCCTTCAGGCAGACATAGTCATACCCGTCAAGTAGGGAATCAAAGAAAGTTTGGTCTGAATCTTCTGATGAATCGTTATTTGCGCAGGTTTCTATAGACGAAGTTGGTTTGTCCATGCTCAGTATTTCCTTGTCTACAGATTCCTCCTCAGACTCTTGAACATTGGAATCTTGGGAGCAGGTAATGGGCTCTATTTCCTCCAGAACAGGTTCCTCTAGAGGTGTGTCTTCAACACAATTAAGGAGATGGTCGTTTATTGCCATAGGCAAAACTTCCTCCCCCTTCTGTACGACTATGCTGGGACTTGGCTAGGAGGGTATTTAGGTAACATCACCACAGTAGCCCTAGCGAGAGTTGTTATGCTCTCGGGTTTCTGTGATGGTGTAGAACTGAGTGAATCTTCTAGAACTGGAGCCTGTTGGTTGATGGGTTCAGGGTTGGTCTTAGGTTCTAGAGCCTCTTTTTGAACATTAATCTCCCTCATTTGATCTTGAGATCGGAGGGAGCGTTTAAGTTCAACAGCCTCACAGAGATCATTGACTAATTTATCAGCTTTAGCCTCAGCTTCTAGTCTTTCTCTTTGGAAGTCATCCAGCATCTTTTGCATCATATCTGAACCTTCGCATAATCTCCGTTCGAACTCCTTTTCTTTCCGGACTGATTCAAGAAGTTTTGCTCTTTCTCGAATTGCCACCTTGTTTGCTTCAATTTTCTCTTCAGCAAACAAAGTGTAGTCACAGGAGTAGGGTGGTTCGTACCACGAGCCTTCAGCGAATAAAAGTTCTTCGAAATAGAAGATTTTCTGTTCTAATCTTATGATTTCTTCGACGAGTGGATCAGGTTGGTTGTCATACATAGGCCCATTGTGGTCATAGTCATCTTGGTCTCCATGGGGTTCATAATAATTATCCCCGTCGGAATCTTGGTATGGAGAATATCCAAAGTTTCTAGACGGGGTATCATATGGTGGTTCCTCATGATAGGGAGAGTAGTCAGACCCATTGTCGACTTAGTAGTCATCATCATATGGGTTCTGATGTGGGTGATAAGGTTGATGGGTTTGAAACGGAGGGCGGTTAGGTGATTGGTAGAAAGAAGGCGGACCGTAATAAGCACTGGAATTATCCATAATAATTATTACGGGTGGTTGGTGAAAAAGAAGAAGTGAGAAGATCGTTCTAACCAATCTTCACCCAAGCTAATCAGAAGAAATTAAACTAATGCCGTGCCACTCCCCGGCAACGGCGCCATTTGACAATTGTAGTTTTTCGGGTAGTAAACCTCCCCAGTAAAGGGTTAGTTTTCTCTCCGAGTGTCGTATCTCTCGAGGAGTGGACGAAGGGAATTAGTTTAATCACTCTAACTAGGCGAAGATTAGGATTGGTTTATGAAAGTCTTCTCAGAACGATTATAGAAGGAGCAGAGTAAAAATAATGAATTAAGTTTACATAGTATAAGTATAGATCTAGACCTAGGGTCTGGACATCATTTGGATCTATTTTATCATATTAAATTAACAGTTGGAATAATAATATTTCTATTACTACTCATCCATTTCTAAATTTGTACTTAATCTGTTGCACTTGAATATCATAGCCTTTTGGCATACAATATTTTCTCAATAAATAGCTAATTAAATCTTCCGACATTAATTAACTAAATAAGGCAAGAACAATAGATTAACCATTCCAACATTAATTTCACATCAAAAATAAACAACCAAACTAGTCCGGACCCAGAGATCTAGACCCTAACTCATACTATGCAAACATAAATTAAAATAGCATTTTATTA